CAAAAAGCCTTGGATAACTAAAGGGATTAAGACTTCGGCAAAAAATATGAATTCCTTGTACCCTTAGATTAAAGAGACCGAAGATGTAACATTGCACACTGCGCATGTTGTCTATTTTAAGTCAAAGTAACCCACCAATTGAAAATCATTGTTGCACGACGTCACCCGAATTGCTCCGATTTCCATTTAGCTATCACCTCCACCTGAGTTTAATCACCATTGACAGCTGTTTTTTGATTTATTTGTTGGTATTTTAGCAATTTAAAGTGTTCTAGTTATTCAATTTCAAGTTCAAAATGTCACGATGTATCTTGAAAAATTGTATGTACTTATAATACAAGTACTACTGTTATGAATATATTCGTTTTCAGCCGTAAATATTTATTAACGTTTTGACATAAAGCGCCATGAATCTCTGGGCTGAATACTTCAGATCCGCATTAAGGGGTTTCAATAAATATTAAGCATCAGAAATCAGATTTCATATTATTTACATAAATTTACAAAAGGGTAAAATTTTGAACATTTAATTTAAATAAATAGTAAATAGGCATTATTGCTAACGAAATTTTGTATTTAAAAAGTAGTTTTATAAGAATGTTTTCTAAAGGTAGTTTTTAGCCCTTTTTGGTAGATAAATAAGAGGTAAAGAATCATAGTTGCTAGCTAAATTTTATTTTTATAAGGTATTTTTATAAGAATATTAGATGAAATACAGGATGACCTATTTAAAATTTCAAGGTTTATCTTATTTGCGGTCAAATCGAAAGTGACATTGAATTTTCAGTCTTAAAACAAAGTAATCTAGTATAATCAAAAAAAAAACACTAAAGTTACAGGAGTTAGGTCCGATTCCACCGTTGTGTTAAACGTAGATTAAAATGACAGTGTTAATGTAAAAATGTCATTTTAAACTTAGTTTAACACAATGGTGGAATCGACCCTTAGTCACGTTAATAAAATGTTACATTACAAACCCCTAAACAACTCGAACATAATTTTCGTTTACTAAAAAAAATCCAAAATTTAGCAATATTTATTTATTATACAATCGAATGCGATTTCAAAGATAACTGGATCAAAAAATCCGAATCTCTAAATTTTGGAGCTAAATGCTCAGATAAAAGCAAGCGACCGATAGGGGTTACAAAAATAATCGATTTATCGATAATTCTGATATTTTTTAATGAAAATCGATTTATCCGCTGTTTTTAATAAATTATTTTCGTTTTTTTTTTTTAAGATAATGTATTAATCAATTTTAAAAGAAATACAAAAAAAGTAGATTTATTCAAAATAATCGATTTATCGTTTAATCGGTTTTTTAATTATTTGATTATTTTCGATTTTATATGATATTATATGAACATAATCGATTGGATATAATCGGTTATTTTACATAATCGATATTTTGGTTATTTTTTTAAAATTATCGATTTATTGGATAATCAGCTTTTTAATAATCAATTATTTTCGATAATCGAATAATCAATTTCAAAGGAAATATGAAAAAAGGATTATTAGAAAATAATAGATAATTCGTTTTATTTTGTGGAAAATCGATTTATCATAGAATCGGCTTCTTAATTAATTGGTTATTTTCGATTAGGCGATTATTTTGGAATTATTGATTATTTTTGGTATTTCAAAGATAATCGAATTATCGATTTTAAAGGAAATACAATAAAAATAGATTATTGATAATAATCGATTATTTAAAATAATCGATCATTCTGTTTTTTTTTTGAAAATCGATTTGTTAGTTAATCGACTTTTTAATTAATCGATTATTTTTGAAATACAATAAAATATATTATTGGTAATAATCGATTTATCATAGAATCGGCTTCTTAATTAATTGATTATTTTCGATTAGGCGATTATTTTGGAATTATCGATTATTTTCGGTATTTCAAAGATAATCGAATTAACGATTTTAAAGGAAATACAATAAAAATAGATTATTGATAATAATCGATTGATCGAAAATAATCAATTATTTAAAATAATCGATCATTCTGTTTTTTTTTTAAATCGATTTATCAGTTAATCGACTTTTTAATTAATCGATTATTTTTGATTAATCGATTATTTTCGATTTTTCAAAGATTATCGAATAATCTGTTTCCATGGACGAAAAAAAATGGTTTATTTGAAAATAATCGATTATTTAAAATAAACGATAATTCTATTTATATTATATTTTGTAAACACTGATTTATCGGTTAATTGGCTTTTTAATTAATCGATTATTTTTGATTTTTCAAAGATAATCAAGTAGTCGATTTTAAAGGAAATGACAAAAAATATATTGTTTGAAAATAATCGATTGATCGAAAATAATCGATTATTTTCAATGATCGATAATTTATTTCGATAATCACTCATCCCTAGCGACCAAATGACTTTTAATAGATTTAAATTTTAAAATGTTATCTGGTTTCAGACATATGCATTTCTAGAGTTTTATGTGACTCATCCTTTATAATAATTAATATTCTTAAAGAAAGAAGCCTTAATATACTTTTTTCTGAGGTTACAATACAAAACAGCATTTTCTCATTTTGACTTATTTTTAATAATATGTAATAGCCGTAGAAAAAATATAATGTTCAACTCATAAGGGTAGATTTGCACTATTAGCCTGCGCACATGCTATTTTTATAATACTCGTAGACAATGAGTAACATTTTTTGCTCTATTAACAATATACTATTTCAACATTTTACTGTAATATCTTGCAGAAAAGTCCGTAGTAAATAAACGCTAACGAAATATTCTATAAAAGGTCTTCTCTTTACATAAAATGTCGTGGCATCTGTTTGATATTAAAAAATCACGTTAATTTTATTTCATAATACAAAATTCGATTAAACACCTTTTAAATAAACCTAATAGTTCATTAAGATGCTAGTAAACAAAGTCCGGTCCCTGTCACAGAGTTCGGGTCGCCGCCCAGTTCCCCCACTTCTTTAGAAATTGGCGACATTTGCGCAGGTTTAAAACCGGTATATGTTATATCTCTGGTCTCTTTTATCTAAGCTTGTACCCAATTAAAACTATTCAGGTGGTAGTGGTTCTATCTTAAATTACTTGAAATATCGTGCAATTTACAAGAAACCGATTAAAGCAGCTAAATAATTATTAATTAAAAAAAGAATAAATGAGGCAAGCAATAAACAAAGAAGTACCTTGAAAATAATAAATGACTTGAGAGGCAAAAGGTCTAAACCCTTGGTCACCAATTTTGAGGCCTACCAAAATCAACGATTTTTATTGTTCTGTTAATCCAAGTATGTCCACCCAACTCCTTCGACTGATGCTCTGTCTTATTTAAATTATCTAAATATTACCGATTCATTTAATTTTGTACCAACTGATGTTGTAGAAATTAAGGATATCCTCTCTTATATCACAAAAAATAATTCCTCAGGTTGGGATGAAGTTTCAGTTAATCTTCTTTCACATCTTCCAGAAAATGTGATTCTTTAAAAACAGCCTTATACCTGTGCGGTGATCATAATTATCCTTCTATCAACTCATTTCTTTATTACCCACTTTGGCAAAAAATATTGAAAAATTGGTTAATATTCTTAAAAAATACATCTCAGTTTGGGTTTCAATTGAGTAAAAATGTTTTCTGTTCTAGAAAAATTATACCTCGATTCAAATGAAAACAGAGTAGCTGCTTCAGTGTTATGTGATTTAGCCAAAGCTATTGACTATGTAAATCACAGAATATTGCTAAGCAACCTAGAAAAATTTGGAGACTAGAATAAAAAAAGTTTCTTTTAATAAGCAAACAACGCTTTCTACAATTCATTGTACGGTTCCCCTAGGATCTGTTCTGTGACCGGTTTTACTCCTAATTTATGTTAATGATATTATTAATGTCGATATTAATGGACACTTCACTACATGTGCAGATGATACAACGATACTCTAGGAGAGTGAGAATATTGAAGAGTTGTCTAATACTATTAACAAAGACATTATTAAGATTAAAGAATGGTGCAGTTCCAATTATTTCTTTTAATATAGTAAACACAAATATTGTCTCATCTATTGGCGATATCGCTATAATTTTAGGTGGATATCAACAAATTGCAAAATTGTAAGAAGCTATCCTCTGAATGTTTTGCATACAACTTAGATATTTTGGTAGCAAGGAGTGTATACTTTTTATTGGTAGAATCCCACCTGCAATATGTTATAAGTTTGTGGGGAACATGTTCTTCCGAGTTGTTTACTAGAATCTTTGTCTTACAGAAGAGGGCCATAAGACATATGTGCAAAGTTGATGCTACACTCACTTGTCTGTTAATTTTGGAAAAATATAAATGTAATATTTTTACCTCCAGCAATACCTGAAGAATCTTTTACCTTCCCTTGCCTGTATTTGCCCACCTGCCAATTAGTATAAGAAGTGCTGACTCATAAAAAATGCAAGTTAAAAAATCTTGCTCGAAAAGGTATACTACAAATTGGATGAATTTTTCTGTGATCGGTTGAATTAATTAGCTCATTTTTATTTATGTGTATATTATATATTTGTCGATTGTAATATTTGTACTTGGTGTTGTGCATATACATTTTTAAAAATTTTTAAAAATTTGTTTGTTTTTTTTTTCTTTGAATTTTAGTTATTCAATTATTTTGTTTTTAGCCTTCTTATACTATTATGTTATCTGTCTTTATTAATAAGAATATAAATAATTCTTCAACAATAAAGAAATTTTACTTGATATTTACACCCACATTTTTTGTAGATGATGGTGTTATGCCGAGAGCGCTTTGCAATTTAAATAAATAATTTTGTAAAAATACAAATATTTTTTTGGTCATCTTAGCTACGTGCACGCAGCAATTAACCACTTTTGGTTTTTTAAAATATTGCCTACTAGATAAAGAGAACGACCCTTTTATATTTAGGTATATTTATTTTTGAATTTTTAAAACTAACTAAAAAAAATATTTGAAAAAATCCAGTTAGAACTTACCAATCGGCCTGCTACATAATTATGTAATTTCACTAATGTTTTCATATCACTTCTTTTTCTGTATCTTGTATCTAAAAAATCCTTAGATTTCTTTATTCCAAATTCTATGTTTTCTCCACATCCGTCCCATTCTCCTTCTAGCAAGGGAGGTCGATTCTTTTTATTTTTTTTCTTTTTTCTTTTCGAACAAGAGCAGCCTATTTGTTCGCCTTTGGTACAAGCCCTAGTTACTTGAAAAGTGATTCCAGCTGCTATCATAGCGTTTACGAAGCCAGTCTCTCTTGTGTCTGGAATTAAAAAATGTGATAATTTGAGAAGGTATAGATAATGACATACAGTATTTTTTAATTTAATACTAAAAAGTATCTTAGTATTTTCAACATAAAAAACGTAGGTCCCTAAAACTGACGATATAATCAATTTTTGCAATGAAAATATATCCAGCCTAATTTTTTTTTTTAATAATCAATACAATATTATAATGGGTATTCCATAACAAATATGTTAAAAGTTAAAGAACGTTAATTCTGTAATTCAATATGTTTACTTTTAACGGGTGTTAAATTTTACGATTCTAACATAAATTGTAATTCTGTAAAAATAAAATTAAGGCACACATTAAATTAAAAAAATAAAAATAAAAATAAACATACGTTAAAAGTAGTTCAAATTTGCAATAAAAGTTTGGTTAATTTTTAATATGTAATAAAATAGATTAAGAAAAAGATGTTGGCCCCAAAAAATTTCAGGTCTACACGACGATGTGGTGGAGCCGTGTGAATTTGGCCCACCTTCCAACTTAGGAATTCGATTTCGACTTAACCACGAGATTGCAATTTTTTTAACGAAGGTGGCCTAAAGTTGCAAATTGGTTGCTAAATTATGAAAAAGGTTCGAAGGCAATACGACGATGTGGCGGCGCCGCGTGAATTAAGCCCCAACAACTTATCAATTCGCTTCCGGCGTAACCACGAGGTTGCAAATTTTTTCACAAAGGTTGCCTAAAATTGAAAATTAGTTGCTAAATTATGAAAAAAATTCGAGGTCACTACGACGATATGGTGAGGCCGCGTGAATTTGGCCCCACCAACTCAGGAATTCGTTTCTGGCGTAACTACGAGGTTACAAATTTTTTCACGAAAGTTGCCTAAAGTTGCAAATTAGTTGCTAAATTATGAAAAAGGTTCGAGGTCAATATGATGATGTGGTGGGGATGCGTGAATTTGTCACCATCAACTTAGGGATTCGTTTTCGGTGTAACCACGAGGTTGCAAATTTTTTCACGAAGGTTGCCTAAAGTTGCAAATTAGTTGCTAAATTACATATGAAAAAGGTTCGAGGTCAATACGACGATGTGGTGGGGCTGCGTGAATTTGGCCCCACCAATTTTGTTTTAGCGATTAGAACAAAAATGTAAGGTTGCAAATTTTTTTATACCGGTTGCCTAAAGTTGCAAATTAGTTGCAAAATATTAGTACAACTTTGGTGTAATTATCATAACATGGTAGGGCCAACTTCACGCAGGTACAAAACTAACCCCAGAAACCTTATAATAGTCAAGTGCCCCTCTACGGCAAATCAATTACTAACTACAAAAACTTTATAAACTGTCATGAAATTCCTAAGCCGACCCTGTCTAAATCAGCTTGGCACCCGACTCATGCTCGAAAGGACGGAATCTCCCAGGAATGCCGTGGGCGCTCTAGAAATGAATAGAACGGGCGGAGAGTGCCGTTGAGTCAGAGATAAAATTTTCGGGAGCTTCTAGAGATTTCTCGTAGCAGAGTTGGACTTGGTATAAATAGCCCGGCTCATCGGCGCACAGTTCAGTTTAGTATAGAGTATTGGAATGGAAAGTAAAATTGTAATAAATAAATTAGAATTGTTAGTTAGTGCCTAAGTATTATATAAATTAATAGGTACGTCTTAAATAAATTGTAAATAGTGTGTTTTAAATAAATAAACTATAAATAAATTAGACTATCATCACAATACACTTTATATAAAATATAATTTCTAAATAGAATTTGTGTAATTTCAAATGTAAAAATTACTTGAGTACTTTTAAAATGTTTTATTTTCATAATTTTCTTGTATTATAAGTTGAATCAAACAATCAAGTCATAATTTCTAATATGTTAAGTTTTAAAGCTTACTAATTAGAACCTGTTAATATCCTCGATTTAACGCATATGACTAACACATTATGTTAAATTTTTAACATATTTCTGCTTATAGAATAGGTTTTTACGGCACAAATGAACTATTATGTTAGGGGGGCGTCCATTAATTACGTGAGGTATTTTTGAGGATTTTTTGATCTCCCCTCCCCCCTGGTGAGATTTCGTAAGATTATCCTCAACTTCCTCCCTCCTCCCCTAATCTCACGTGAGATATTTCAAAATTTGTGTTTTGGGTGTAAAAACATTGGATTATTAAAAAAAAAAACAAAAACACAATGTTCTATTACTTTTATTTAAGACTAGCAGACTAATATTTGAGAATATTGCCGTAATATAAAATTTCTAGAAACATTCTTTACTTTAATTTAACATTACTTTCGAGATATTTTACACCGTTTTCTACTAAAAAAAATTACGTCAGATTTACAAAGACCCCCTTTCCCCCAAGCAGGGGCGGTTTCTCCATTGGTTCATTTGTGCAGTGAACATCCAGTTAAATTTCATAAAAACACGTTATTTTAATATAGCATTAATAACATAAAAATATAAATTTAATTTTAATATTTTTAATTTCATACGTGTTAATCTATATTTTTTGTACATCATTGTCCTCTGGCTGTATCACAGTTATTAAGACTAGAGATAAGGAGGCGAATCAGCCTTAGTCAAATTTCAAATTTTCGTCCCTTTTTTTACGGAGTTCCAAAAAACTACTGTAGTTGGAGGGTGGGAAAATAACGACGTCTATTTTATATGCAAGTCAATGGAAATTAAAGTAATTTTTGTAAAATTTAGTGAAAAGAATAAAAATAAGCTGAAATAAAGAACCTGACTACAAGTAACAATGAGTAACAAAAAACGGCAAAGCAGGATTTGCTTCGTTCCGGTTTGAAAAACGGGATATAAATCCGATATAAAATTAAAGAAAACACAAGGAGATAAAAATCCAAGTCTTTTTAAAGCTCCTAGTGTAAGTAAAATGATGTATTTATTTCTAAATAATATATATTTATTGTAAAATAGTCACAACCCGTATCTTACGGAGTGTAGTTTATTTAATTACAAAATTCTATAATAAAAAATAATAAAGTCATAAATCCTGACTTACAAACAACAATAATTACACATTAAATTTAACTTACTAGAAAAGAAAATTTGCTTTTTTTTATGTTTTTTTATGTAAGATGAAAAGTTACTACTGTTATTTTTCTTTATTTAACTCCAATTTAGTCATAGCAAATATTTTTTATAGGATCCTAAACGTTTAGAATAATGGCAGCATGTGATTCCTAGGGCTGATAAAGTACTGTCTAGCTATGATTCTGTTTGCGAGCTACACTTTTTAGAAGATGATATTTTAAAATTTGATGAGACTATTTTAACTAATGGTACTGTTAACAAAATAAAAAGGGAAAGGCCGAGATTAAAGAACAAAGCAATATACCATGTATATTGTATATTCCCGAATCTCCCTTCATACTTGTCCAGTATTAGGAAAAGACGAAAACTACCATTGAACCGAACTGAATTTGTTTGAAAAAAAAAAAGGAAGAAAATACTAGAACCTATTGCTGAAACAACTTTCACCAGGATGATGAAATTGTAGTTGTCGAATACAAAATTACCAACAAAACTGTTCTTACCAAATTTCACCATTTAACAAACCTTTTCAAATTTGGTCATACCTAATTTTCATTTTATTTAGATAAAATTAAATAATGAATAGTAAATAATGTTTAACATAAAGACTGATTTATAATTAATACCAACAGTATTTTCTGTACTTTAGTTAGCAATTAAAGCAAATACTTATTTATAATAATTATAATCAACAGTATTTTATGTGCTTTAGTTAGCAATAAACAATTTGATTTTTATTATTTTCATAAAATTTTGTAAAATTCCTAACTAAATATTTTCATTTAAACCGTGTCTTAGTATGCCCTATTTAGCTTTAATTAAAAATAATTAGTCCTACCCATCAAATTTCAATACTTATCATCAATAATTTGCATTTTACTTAAATAGGAATCAATAGTAAATAATGTATCAATTAAAATATTTAAGACTTATTTAGAAATAAATACAACACTATGTTCTGTGCTTTATTTAGCTATAAACAAGTTTATTTTTATTATTTTGACAAAATTACGTATAATTCCCATAAGAAGGCATGTATTTTGAACTACATAAACCGTACCAGCGCCCATGCGGTTAATTATAAAAACTCAATTGACGTGTGATTTTTGGGACCGTATTTTGAACATGCCGTTTCGCCTCCTTATCTCTAGTCTTCATAGTGTCTGTGGCACATTATGATGAGTGAGCCTAACACGAGTGAGACGATATGCCTAATGCATATAGCTAAAAAGAGAAGACAACACGCCAGCAGATCCTTCAAACTGTCAAAGAACATATTAATTGGCGCGCCGCTCACAAACAAGGTTGCCAAACCAGTGTTGCCAGTCTAGTACAATTCACACATTCGTTTGATCTGTCTACAGACACAGCATAATTTTGTAAATAACCATAGGAATAGAGTACGGGTTATATTTTAATATTTTATCTTTCCATTTCTTTTATTTTGCATAATAATTATTTTTCTTTAATTATATTTGACCATAAATATGAGACACGAGAAACTGGCTGAACACTAGTTCTTTTTGGTCTTAGCAGGTTGGCAACATTTTTCGTTAGAAATTTGTCAGTTCTATGATCGAACTGTCACTTAAAAAAAAAAAATAACCACGTGTTGTTGGATCCCGGTAGCAGAGAAAACCCTCAAAAGAGGTAAGTCATTTCCTTTGCTGCTCCTGCATTTTCTTTGTCTGGCAAAACACTCATATTTTAATACATATATAGGGTTCTTCCCGTGGATGAACAAGATAGCCACATCAACAGTGGGTGGTTATTCTTAGAAAGCTACAGAATGGAATTCTGTCTTGCCAATATGCTGCCGTTTTATTTATCCTGCGAAGCAAACATTTCCTTTTTATTTCTAACTATTTTACGATGGTCCAGTGCCCCAAGCAGTCCTGTAACATGATGAGCTTCGGTGTGCAGTGTGCAGCCTAACAGAGGGTTCTTTCTAGTGCCGCTGTCAG